TATATATATCCATTATGTACATCATAACAATTTAAGTATACAAATCAATGGTCTTAATTACACTCACATTGTTTGTAACTATATCATAATTTCTTTCCCATTTTTTCATCACCCAAAACATAAATGCTGTTCTCATGAAACAGAAATATCCAGCTCCACTGCCTTCCCCTCCTCTCTAGAAAGCAGTGCATAATTTACTCTGTGTCTCTATGGTTGTCTCTTCCAGGTACCTCATGTGACTGCCATCATCCAGTGTCTGTCCCTTTGTGTCTCACATATTTCATTCTGTAAACTGTTGTCAAGCTTCATCCATATTGTAGTATGCATCTGTACTTTATTTCTTTACAGAGATAAGTTGCATTTCACTCAATGGATATTGCAAAATTGGTTCATGCAGCCTCATGCTGGTGGACCCTTGGGTTTTGCCTGGTGCCTGCTATTGTGAATAAGTTTCTCATGAACACTGATGTGTAAGCATATGCTTTGAGTTCCATCTCCAGTTCTGTTGGGTACAACATACCTATGGGTGGAATTTATGGGTCAAATAACAATCTTCTATTTAAATTTGGAGGGAACTACTAAACTACTGTCCACATCAGTTATGCCCTTACACATTGCCACTCTTGGTGTCCAAGGGCACCCAACTACCCATATGCTCATCAGCACTTGTTAATTTTCCCACTTCTGCTTATTATAAGTATCCTTGTTACAGTCAAAGTGGAAGTTCATTTCTGTTTTGACTTGTATTTTATTAATAATGTTGAGGATGTTTTCACGTGTTTCCTTGCCATTTCTGTTTCTTCCTTCAGGAAATGCCTACTTAACTCTTTAATTGAGTTGTTTTACTTTTGTTGTTGAAGAGCAGTATTCCTTAAATGTTTTGATATTAAACTCTTATCAATTATATAATTCACAAATATTTTCTCCCATATGTCTTTTTACTCTCTTGAGAGTATCTTTTGATGTATAAAGATTTTAATTTCAATGAATCCAATTCATGTTTTTCATTGTTATCATGGGTAAGAAACTGACATTTAATGCAGTGTCCTCCAGATTTTCCCTTATGGCTTATTCTAACAGTTTTGTGATCTTGCCTCTTACAGTGCATCTTATATCCATGCTGAGTTATTTTTTGGGAGACTAATTTCAATATTTTTAAAAAGTGGTTATCTACTCTTGCTAGCTTTATGCAATGAAATGACTCCTTTCTTCTTACTATCTTGCATGCTTGTTGTGTATCAAATGATCATCAACGTGAAGATTTATTTGCGTGCTCTCAATTTGATTTTGTTGGTTATATCTATCTTCAAGCCACTGTCATGCCATTTTGATGACTGTAGCTTTGTAATAAGTTCTGCAACCAGCAAGTGGAATATATCAACTTTGTTCACATCTTTCAGGACTCTCTTGGCTCTTCTGAGTCTAAACAATTTATGTAAATTTTAGTCAAGCTTTCTTTTCTTTTTTCTTTTTTTTCATTTTGGCAAAGTCACAGAGATTTTGTCAAGAATTGTTTCAAGGGCAAGCCGCATAGCTCAGCAGATTAAAGTGCCTGCAAGCAGGCACAGGGGCTGGTGGTTCGATCCCCAGGCCTGTGGTGCTGGCCCTGACCCCAGGGCACGCTGAGATGGCAATTCTGACTGGGTGTGGTGGCATGTGCCTGTAATCCTAGCTCTTGGGAGCCTGTAAACAGGTGGATCACTACCAGTCCAAACCAGTAGTGAGACCCTGAACACCCTATACACCCTTCCCTAAAATACAAAAAAAAAAAAAAAATTGCTTTACTTGGACAGTATTATCATTAAAAATATTAGGTTTCCCCATCCATGAATACAAGATTTTATTCCATTTATTTATGTCCTATTTATGCTTCTATCAGAGTTCTTTTATTCTTTTAGTGTACATATTTTGTGTTCTTTTAGTCCAATTCTTAAATATGTTATTTTTTGATGCTGTAGCATATGAATTATTTTTCTAATTTACTTTTGCAGATATTTCATTGCTACCATATAGAAGTATAAGTGATGTTGCTTTTACATCTTGACCCTTCACTGAATTAGTTGTTAACAAATTTGTGTGTGTGTGTACATGTGTGTGTGTGTGTGTGTGTGTGCGCGCACGCACACACACATGCACGAGCATTTCCAGGGATTTTTTATACATAAAATTATATCATCTGTTAATAAAGAGATTTTTACTTTTCCTCTCTAAGCCATGTGCTTTTATTTCTTTAGTTGTCTAATTCCCCTGGTTAGAACCTCCAATGTCATATTAAGTAGAACTGACAAAGGCAAGGATCTCAGAGTATTTTTGATCTTGGAGAAAAAGCCTCAGTCCTCCATCACTGAATAGACTTAACTGCAGGATTTCAAATATAGCACTTATCACACTGAAGAGTCCCTATTTCTAGTTCATGGAATGTTCCCTGCCATTTAAGTGTGAAATTTTGCTGAAAGTTCTTTTCTGCTTTCCTTGAGATGATGTGTTTTTCTCCTTCCTGATATATGTGCGGCTGCATTGTGTTGATTGATTAGCGTAATTTAACACCTTGCATTCCAAGCATAAATATCATTCGTTCATGTTGTATAACCCTATGGACATACTTTTGAGTTGGGTTTGCTGGTATTTTGTTGAGCAATGGGGCATCAGCATTCATAAGGTATGTTGTTCTAGAGCTCTCGTAGCTTACTTTCTTTGGCTTTAGTAGTAGAATACTACTACTTCATGGCTGAATTAGAAATTATTCTCTCCTGTTTGACTTTTTCTTAGAAAGCTCAAAAATTAGTAGTATTGCTCATTTTACTGTTTAACATTACTTACTAATGAAGATATCGGGTTCTTTATTTTATTAGGTTTTTCATTACTGATTTAATGTCATTAAAGATTTTCTATTTCTTCATGAGTCAGTTTTGGTTGTTTATGGGTGCCAAGAAGTTTGTGTATTTCACTGAGCTTTTCCAGCTGGCTGACACGCTGTTGTTCACAGCATGCTTTTGTCATTCTTTTCATTTCTGTACAGTGGGTGGTGATGTCTTTTCTTTCACTTCTGGTTTCAGTGACTCACATCGGCTTGTTATTTTTTCTTTCAGTCAACCCAGCTCAGGGCTTCCTGTCCATGGCATGTGAGAAACTGGGCCAAAGCACACAAGATGTGAGCAGTGGGCAAGCAAACAGCTTACTCTTACATACAGCCTCTCCCCCAGCACCAGCATCACTGCCCGGGAGCCGCCTTCTGTCAGATCAACAAAGAAATGAAATGACGGTAGCAGCGAGACCTCAAACCTGACTGTGCTCACTTTTGTTGATCATTCTTACCTTGTCATTCCATTAAGTTTCCTTTCCCCTGAAGGTAACCACCTTCTTTCACCCAGTTTTGAAGTAACCTAAAATCCCAGTTCAAGCCAACTAGCTATACAACACATGTCTTACCAACTTGAACTTTTAATTGAGTGATCATACCTTGGTCTAGAAATGAGTCACATCTATAGATAAAGCTATACTTTCCTAGAATTTACCATGAATATATCATATTTTGATTCACCTTTTAATAGCTGGACAAAGTATACCCTAATTTAAGAGTCCTCAAACCCCAGACCACAGGCTGCTACTATTCTGTAGCCTGTTAGGAACCAAGGCCCACAAGAGAAAGTGACCAATGCGATAGATGATGCGACCAGCTTGAGGCCTAGGTTTGCAAACTCAGGGTGCCTCATGTCCCCTACTTTCTCCATCTCTGCAGGCTGACTGCAGCTGCCTCCACCTTGCTCCAGTCACCCTGAGTCTCCAGGCCAGTGGGATTCAAAAGATTGGCTTTGATCCTGTCATCATGGTGTGTCTGGCAGGAAATAAAATTTGATTCATAAGTAAGGGAAAGACTTGCTCTAGACTCAATCCCTGTGACAAGGGAAACAATAAAGGACACAGTGTGTGCCTCACAGTACCTACCTTACTGCTCCCCCATATCATCGCCAAATATTGTATTGATGTTCTCTGTCACCGAATAGTGATTAGTTGATCCATGGACAGCATTTTTCAAGATGCTTGTTCCAAATTGGGCTCGAATGGATTGTGGGGACAGGAGTTTTGCTTCTTCTGGATCTACTGGGCCCATCAATCGTCTCCAGTCTGTGATGGCATTCCATTTGCTCAGAACCATGATCAAAGATGGACCCCTGCAAGTGACAGTGCCTTGAGAAGACGTGTGCTATTTTCAGAGGTTCCAACTGCGTACGTTGTGATAGGCAGAATGCTGCAGGCCCATCCCAGGAGCTCCTCTCTCCCCTTTCTCCTAGCCCATGGGATTTTGTGCTTGTTTTGGCCATTTTTCCTTCTCCCAGTAGGTTTTTGTGTTAACTAAGTGCTGTAGATTAATTCTAGAGAACATTTGTCAATGGACTAATTTTTTTTTTTTTTGCTACTTTGGGGGCCACAGAGACATTGGCATGGGCCAGGGACTTGTGATTTTGTGGTCACTCTGTGCCATCTAGTCTCTTCAAGGATTGTCCTTAGGAATGGAAGTTGCCCAGACCACCATCATTCCAAGTCCTAGGAAGACTGTTTCCAGTGATGGCCAGTGTCAGAGTGCAAAGCCTGACACCTCAGCCTATTGCACACAGCCTTGGGGACCCATGCAGCAAGGCCAGCAGGAGCTGGCAGGCCTTCTGCCCCTGGACTTCTCCCTCTTCCCCCAGGGAAGATTCTTTATCCTCTCCCTTGTACTGTGCCCTGAATAAATGAACTTTAGCTGCTGTCTGAGTCCCAGGGAATGCAACCTACAAAAGATTGGAAAGTTAGTTTTGCTTTCCAAACCATCAGGTACAGTTACTCAAAACCCCTGAGATTCTGTGTTTTATTTCTATCTAATTTCTAATTGCTACTTGTATGTTGGGGATATTTTGTTTAAACTCTGAAATATAATCTTTCCTAGCTCACTGACAAAATGGTCAGGATCTATAAAAGAAAGATTTTTAAAAAGGTTTTAAACATGTGCATGTACATGTCAAGTTTTTTTAAAAATTCAAAATAAGGTGATGAAGGTATTTTCAAGTAATTATGACTTTCATCCAGGCATGGTTGTGCATGCCTGTAATCTGAGTACCCAGATTAAGTTTAAGTTGTAAACATTCACTGCTTGTTTTGATCATACTTTATGCATCTGTTATACATACTTTATGCATCTGTTATACATACTTTATACATACTTTATACATCTGACCAGCCTGGCCTACAAAGTAAGCTCAAGGTCAGTCTGAACTGTATAGCAAGACCATGTTTCAAAAAAAAAATAAAAACATTAATTGTGACTTCCATGGAAAAATAAGTCTGTGCAGCAGCAAACAAGAACACAGTCTGTCTGGGTCAGGATCCTGCCAAGGACTAGCTAAGTGACTGATGTGAAGACAGCACTTGGGACAAAGCATGGCCTACCTAAGTGTTCAGTAAATGTTTTCTGTCTTTATTTGTATATATATTTTTTACATTTATTCCTATCTTGCTAAGCTCCTAACACATGTATAACAGATGTATAAAGTATGATCAAAACATGCAGTGAATGTTTACAACTTAAAGATTTATTATAGTAATGACATTATGATAGCCCTAAAATCCTCTCTTGTACTTATATACATATACCCATTGCCCTTGCCACTTCCTAAAGCAGGAAGTGGCTATAGTCAATTCCCAGCCCCAAACCTCTGTCCTCATAGTCAAAGCAGAAATCATAAACACACTTTTTAGAGTTGTTATGAGGGTGAAATGATAGAAAGAGTAAGTAGGTCACCAGAAGACTCAGAGTTAAGTTGACATTTAATAGATACTAACTGTCCATCCTTCTGTAATGCCTGCAAAGGTATTTGCTGCCAGGAACAGATCTGTATGTGGAAGAAAGGAGTCCTGGCAATGCATATGTAACATTCATGTAACTATGCACAAGGTGTGATTGAAATATCTGGTGAATGTTTAGATGTTAAGTTATTACAGTAAAAGACACATTGCTACTATTCTTCCTCAAAATACATCACCTGGCTTCCAATACCCATTGTTCTTGCAGCTTGGAGAAGCAGTTCTGGATATACTGTTTTATGACTGTGCTTTAACAAATGTGATTAAAAAAATATGGTGAACCCTGCTGCTCACTGCTGTCCGATGAAGAGCCGGGCTTATAAAGAATTTGACAGTGTGTCTTTGTCTGCCTCATTCACCAGATCTGGCACCAGGCAACTTCTGGCTTTTCTGCAAAGTCCAAATGATCATGAAAGGTGTTTTAGATCAACTGTAGGATATCAAGGCAATTGTAACAGAGCAGCTAAAGGCACTCACAAAAGCGGGCTCACAGAACTGCTTCAGAAAGTGGCAAGAACAATGGGATATTCACATGGAAAGTGAAAGGGGGGAATTTAGGAGTAACATAGCATCTTTTCTTTTTTTGCATTCCTGTCAATTTATTCTTGCTGATAAGATTTTAGTTTCAAGCCTTTATTTTTAATTTCATTTCTGTTATTTTCTTTTATCCCATAATTTTATTGAGAAACAAATAGCAGTGAGACAGTTTCAAACCAAATTGGTAGGACAGTTTCAATAATTACAACATTGCATACATTCTC